ACTAACAGTTATTTACGAGAAATTATGTTGGGTGAACAAGTAGAACTGCAACTGCTATTGCTTGGAGATATTGATCTTTCTTTTAATGTTACACATCCAGTTGACGAAATAGTTGCCAATGGTGCCATATAAGGTTTTTCTCTAAGAAGGTTTTCCATAATCTAAGTAATTAATATTGTATAATACTAATTGTGAAAGTGTAAGAGGGAAGAAGTTACATAATGTTATGTTAATTAAAGTAGTACTTACTTCATAATATTTCCATGTGCGCGTGTTATTACCAGATTTTGCGTTATGATCTTTAATTGTCTTATATGTACGTTTCATTGTATTTATTCTCGTCATGCATTGTCTACCAGAGACATTATATCCCTTGGCGTGCATGGTTGCCGCAATTTCATCCCATGCTTTCTTATGACTGATTTTACCTGAAGACATGGAAGATTCTCGTTGTCTATACTCTTCAAATAAAAGCATTATTGCCTCATGAGACCATCTGAAATCTGTAATATAAATCATTACGACAAAGAGTATATAAAAGAAAAAATAGAGATAACGTATTCATAACAAATATGATTTAAATTTATATTGTAAAATTTCCTTACTTTCTTTATTTTCTATCGATTCTTCTTCTATTTCCTCTTCTGTTTGTCTTTCTTCAGAAAATGACACATTCATATTATCTATAAAAGCAATGTACATAATTATCAATATTCCTCTACATTATTCTACAACGTCAAAGAAAAGAATTAGATTAGTTACGTACTAAATGTTTCCTCTGACGGAGTGTTATTTGAGATAGTAGTCTGTATAAGTCCAGAAGCACCTTAAAAAATGTTTTTTAATATAAATTATATAATTTGCATACTAATTGTTTTGTTCATGCATCAAATAATTGGTACAAATTGCATTATTATCATAAGTGATGATTGTTTAAAAAATTCTTACCAAATACATTATTTCGATAATTGCCTTGACGTGCAACATTCAACAAAGTTGTTGCAAAATGCAAATCTGCAAATGTAAAGTAAGAAAAATATTAAAGCAAACAAATTCATATCTTCTTAATTCTATAATTTCTGATAAATTTTTATTGTGATACATATTAGGTGCTTTTCAGCAAAAGTCACTGACGACACAGTGATACACAGTAAATTATTTCATCCTTGTTAACATTGGCAACAAGGATTCACTTGTATTATACTGTCGTCTATGACCTAGTTTACACCCAGCCGTCCAATCCCGATTCACTTCGAAGTAAAGTGAAATTTCTTGGATGTAAACGAATTAGTTTTGACTGATTTCAGTCCTCTTTTCTCAGCGGAGTAGAGCGAATCCGGTGTAAACATTCCTTCACTTCGAAGTAAATCGGGATTGGACGGCTGGGTGTAAACTAGATCTATATCTCTTGTTGAAAAGCATTTTTCATCTGCAGAAAGATATTCGTATCGCATGCATTAAAATTTACAGATTCATAGAAAATAAATATAAAAAAGAGCTAGCATTTCATAATTAAATTAATATTGTGATAAAAGCCATCTAGAATTAGTTATATTAATATATATAAATAAATAAAAAGTGATTTAAATGTTATAGAATTAAACAAAATCTTGGAAATTCTGATTTGTACAGCACAATAGAATAAAAACTGAACAAAATCAATCACAAAATTAAATAACTA